TTGATGCATTTTATTTGCAGTGCTCAGCACACCTTTCACTTGGAGCAGCTCCTCATTAGCTTTCAAAAATGAAATACCACTTTAAATGGGACAAACCAACTAAACTTGGCATACAATTATAAATTATGTCCATTTGGATTTCCAGCTAAAACCACTGAAAGTTGCTATTCTTCAAGAACCAATAAAATCCACGACTCTAAGACATATTTCTTGAGTTGCACCTGTCTTACAGACTGGAAAAGCACATTACTGAGCTTTAGGAATCCTACCTCATCTGAACAAACTTCTAAACTCAGCATTAGGTTGTAGTGATTAAAATTAGTATCTTCCATTTGGGTTCAGAGACAATTTGATTCTGCCAATACAATCTCTTTTGAAATACTGATGACTGTTACTACTATTTCGTCCACTACCATCATCCTGCCAACACAAGAGAAAAAAACTTTGGTATTGCCCCTACCATAGTAATTCTTTAAATAAGTAAGATGTTTTCTGCCTTTCCTTACAAGAAAAAAAAAAAACAATATATATGTAAACAGCAAATTAAGCTGAATTAGCAACTAGCCAAGGTAAGCAGAGCAAGAGCTGGACCACACAGCAGTACCCAGTGCCTGTCTATCTTATTAAAGCTCATGCAAGACACAAAACAGCTGCTAACTGTCAAAGGCTGGGTACAGTCTAGACTTCCTAAAGGCTTCTCATAAAATCTCTCAGCTATTACAGAAACAGCTGCTGCTATACCAGCCACAGGTTTCTGTTTGTTAGCCAAGACAGATTGGAAATAAATCAACAGGTAAGAAGCAAAAGTGCCAGAAAAAGGGTCAATTCTCAGACTGAGAGATGAGTAGAAGCTGCATATCTCATTCCATCAGTTCTAGAATGACCATACTCAAAACTTGTTCAAAAGGTCTGGTGAAGCTTTTCTTTGAAACATTGCTCTGCTTTCAAGGCTTAAGAGACTCACAGGTTTACTTTATAGATCAAAGCACCTAAGATCCACAGGCTAAGAGATGATGAATGTGTTCAGATGAACAGAAGCTAGGCAGAAGTCAATGATCCATACACAGCCCCCCCTCTTTAACCCTGAGCCACAAATCTGGCTGATATCCCTAAAGCTTTCCTTCCTCAGACATTAGGTCAGGGTCTGGAGCATCACAGCAGTTCTCAGTGTTTGCACCAGCCTTCTGCCAGCCCAAGACACAGGAAGCAGAGTAAGGCAAGGAAAAGCAGAGCTAAGGAGAGAATGACAAGCCTGGGGCTGCATCTTAGGAAAATGGTACACAGCAACATAAATCAGGATATTGTGCTAAATCAATATCCCTTTGGAGCAAACTATGACTGTGCTTTGCTGTCTGGCAGGGCACAGTGGGTGTCCCACAGCAGTCTCAGACACAGCAGGGCAGAGCTGATGAGGAGGGACTACAGGGTGTTGGTAACTTTAGACTGGGAGTAAGATCTACAGCCAGGAAGGGAAAATTCTTCTATGGGTTGGGTATGTTCATAGCACTACTGAGCTCATAATAGAAATGCTACCTGTGTATTTCTAAAGTTTTAATGAATCAAGGCCTTACACAGCAGCATATAAAATGGCAAGTTAGGAATACTGGAAAAACAGAAATCTCAATATTGATCAAGCTCCTGCAGCAAACCTGCAAAGAAAAATTCAACACAGGTTAAAATGAGGATTCTTTTGAGAGAGCTGCAAACTTGGCCAGGCTTCTGATCAAATACTGTAAAACTGCATATCTTTAGAGACACCAAATGGAGGCACTGAAAATAACACCTAACTGAAATAAAACCAAAATTCTCAACAGAAAGGACTGGTCCCTGTTTTGCAGTACTTTGTTAAAATTTATGGATACAGAATATGATTTGCCATTAAGTTTAATAAAAGACTGTTCATCTAAATTTACCACATTGCCTTGTCTTTCCTAGTATGACAATTTCTGAATAAAAGAAAGTTGCATTCAGTAACAGAGCGTTGAAACTGATTTTCATTAATAATTTCAGTTTATCAACTCCTATAAAGACAGGGTGAACGTGGTGATTTATAAAATGCAACTACGAGTCCACAGGACATTCTAAAAGTCTCATTTTATTCTGCAGTTTCCCACAAAATGGTAAAGAAATGGGTCACATACAGGAAAGATTAGCCTGAGACCCCTACTTTTCCTGAAGTATTATAGGACAAGACAAATCACCTTGTACTACTTTGCCCTCTAACAACTGAGAAGTTTTTATAAGCTAGGCAGAAGTGCCAAGCAATAATGAAATTCTCCTCCTTCAAAACAAGTTTAATCCATCTTGTAAACTCCTCAAAACACAATTGATTGCACCAACCAGGGCCACCACTCGCCTCTCTGTGCCTCTCGAAAAATCTGTTTCAGGAGAATGCGATAGGTAAGAGGATCTCACACCTACATTTTCACCTCATTTCATGCAGGTGTAAGAACTTGGATTGCTGTAGATTATCTGATGCAAGACAAACGCAGTGTTGTGAAGAATCGTGTCTTTACTTTGCAAGATTGTTTATATTTAAAATGAACATATATGCCAGTAACTATTCCTTTTTCAACATAAATCAGGTTTGCAGAAACAAATTAAACATCACTAGTGGGCTGCCCTTGGGATTGACACCAGGGCTAGTGACCTGGATGATGGGTCAGAGCACACGTTCAGCACATTTACAGATAAAATAAAACTAGAAGTGGCTGATATCAGATGGTTGTGCCACCATTCAGAAGGATCTGGACAGGCTGGACAACTGCTGCCAACAGGAACCTCATGAAGTTCTACAAACGGAAGTGCCAAGTCCTGCACCTGGTCAGGAATTATTCCACGTATCTTTACACACTGGCAGCTGATGAGCTACAAAGCAGCTTTGCTAAAAATGACCTTGAGGTCCTGGTGACAAGAAGCTGAACATGAGCCACCAATGTACTCCTGGAGAAAAAAAGGCCAACAGCATCCTGGGTTACATTAGGAAGAGCACTCAGCTGGTAAAAGGAGGTGATCCTTCCTCACTTATCAGCCCTGGTGAGGGCTATCTCTTGTACTCTGTCCAGTGCTGGAACTGACTGGGCTTCCCACTACAAGAACACCATGGACTTATTGGAGCAAGTCCAGGACAGGGACTTAAATATTATTAAGGAGTATCTTTATATAAGGGGATGCTGAGAGAGTTGAGACTGGCCAGCCTGGACAAGGGATGGCTAAGGGTCAGGGAAGATGGCTCTTATTCATGTGTGTGAATAAATGACAGGAAGGAATGAAGAAGGAGCCCAATTCTTCCTAACAATGTACATCAACAGGACAAGAAACAATGGACACAATTTAAATCCCATGCCATTCCATCAGAACATGAAGAAACAGTTTGGATTTTTACTGTGACAGAGGTCAAATACTACAAAATTTTGCCTACAGAGGTGCTGAGTCTCTATCTGCATAAACATTCAAAACACAACCAGACATAGTCTTGAACAACCTGACCCTACTTAAGCAAGAGCTTGGGCTACATGACTTTAAGAGATTCCATCCAATCTCACCAGTTCTGTGGACCTGTGAAGATGATACAAAAAGTTTGAGTGGTGATAACTAAGTCACCAGGCTAGGAGGGTCTTTGTGTTTAGTCCTCTGCTCTGCCAGACTTCTTTTTTATAAGCCAAAGCATTTATTGTAGTTATTAATTATCACAATCTGCCTAACTCAGATCCTGGAGGGACAAGCATATAAGCAATTGAAAGAAATGCTCTTTCCATTACTCAGTATAATGAGGCATTCTTCTTCCTTTTTTTCCTCTGAGGTGTCTGCCAATTTCCAAAATAGAATACAGAACCAGCCGGGTTGCAAGGTTATTTCTTTATGACATTTTTTATTTAAATGTGTGCATTTACTGTTGAAGAGAACAAAGAAAGGACAAGACATATGGCTTTGTGCATGTTTTTCACCACATTGCAGCCTGATGTATTCAAGTAGGAAAAAACACCCTACAGACAGAAAAATACAGAGAAGAAGAGAAAGACACCAAATGTTGACGCTGTATGTCAATTATTTATTAATAGAGTGTGTAAATTTGCCTGTGGTAAGATTTAATGGGAATAGAGAAGGGGGCTTCGCTCCTAAAATAGGTAAACCACCTATTACTGCAACTGATATTTTCATTTTAATATCAGATGAAGGGCTAAATGCACAAAACCACAAAGAAATCATAAAAAATTGTAGAAGTACTAGAAAGAAAAACTATAAACAACAGAGCATTTCATGGGTTCCTGACTTGTTTAAATATATCTGTGTTTTGACTGCCTGCACCTGAAAAGTGCATTTATGGCCCATTAGGAAAAGGCACTGAAATTTGTGAGAAACCTAACAGGCTGCAATCCAATGCCTATGCCTGAAATATCTAGAAATGGTCCAAGTCTGGCTGTGTCCCTGGTTGAAATGTACACATTCCAGCCTTTTACAGCTTCAAAATGCTCCATGCAGACCACTTCCCAGAAAGACTTGTATTTTTCATGTGATTAAAATCACTGTGCTTTTGGCCATCTCTGACACCATCAAGGTCTCAGGTATGCTGAGGTATGCTGCAATACAATAACCTAGAAATGCACTGCTTATGGTGTTGCATCAATAAAATAAGAGAGCATCTGTGCCAGAGTCAGCCTTTTCATTGGAATGGAAAGGATAAGAAAGCCCAGGGCTGCAGTACTAAGGCAGAATATGTGAAATTAAAGCATGAAATAAAGATGAAGGAAGGTCAAAGGAGACCTGAATGCCAAGATTTAAAAATCATTGTATCAATGATCTTTCAATCATTGTATCAATTAATCTTCTAGTAACACCATCATATTACAGTTACTTATTTACTTAGCACGTCATACCACCTTTCATACTTGATATTAACTTCAGATGAATGTGAACAGACACCATGGAAAATCAAATTAACAATGTAAAAATGTAACTTCTCAGTAAAGCATCAGACCACATGCAAACATTAAGTTTACCTCAGCTCCCAAACTGAGAGAGATTATTTCATCTTCAAAAGCAGAATGTGTATCAGTATGAGGAGGAATTCCTGTTTAAAAAAAAACCAAAAACAAACAATAAAAAAGTGACTACAATAATGATAATAATAATAATAACAACAACAATAATAGAGTTCTATCTCCATTGGCAAGCTCTATTTCTATGGATGTCCCTATGGAAAACTGGGATGTATGGTTGAACAAACAAAACTTACCATAAACAAAGGAATTGTCTTCCATAAGAATTTAGGGTAATTGTCTCACGCCCAGATTAGATGGACACAATTAACCTGTCTTGTATAATCAGTAGAAATACCTAAGAAGATAGCTCAGGTTACTCCAAGGCCTTGCTCATTCCTGGATGGACTCCCTGCTGCAGAGAGAAGCTCAAGCACTTTGCTCTCCTTGCAGGCAGTTTAGCCCTTAGAAGCAACAATTATGGTACCTACGGCAATTTTGGGCTTTAGTTCATCCACAATAATATATTTCTTCCTCACTCCCTTCAGAGAGGAGTAATTTCAAATCCCTCTATTTCCTAAGCCAATGACTGCATTAAGAATTTCAGCTTCAGCATTAGGACCTGCTATCTCAGAGGCAGGCACTGTTAAGATCAAGTCTGCCTGTGCTTTGCACTTCCTAGGCAAAGCAACATCCCTGCTAGGCTAACCCCTGGGTAATACATCTGTTAGTGTGGGTATGAGTACACACACACAACTGAGGATTGCCAAAAGGACAGTCATTTTTAGGGGTCTGTTTAGATTTTTCTTTCATATCTGCTAATTGGAAAGAAACTGCCAATCCCTGCAGCTTGTGTCACACATTTTAATGCCAAATGCTAGAACAGCAGTGTGCATGCCACAGCAAAATCTAACCACATGGTGGGGAACAGCAGTCAGCAGTGAGCAAGGGAGAACAGCAGACAGCTTGGGAGAACTGCAACTGCACCTTCCTCTGATCCACTGCAGGCCAAGGCAGACAGAGTCATTCCTATACCATCCAAACTGAAAGTTTTGTTTGATTATCAAAAATTCTACCCAAGTTCACTTTGGGCTCTGTAGAGAATTCCTGAGTTGAAGACAATTTTGAAGTGTCAGTCAGCTCTATAAAGCACCCTTATTATACAGCAGATTTTATATCCAGATGTAAATATTCTGAATTGCATTAGTTTCAGGGAAAACAATACAAGTGTTTTATGAGACCAACCATTTAATCTGACAGAAAATCAGTGAGACTTGAAAACCAAGGACAGATAGATACCTGTTTGTTACAGCTCACAACTTTGCCTCGGTACAAAGCACTGAGGCTCTGCCTCAAGAGGCTCAAACTTGCACACTGAAGCCTGTGCAATTCACTGTGCAGCAGGAGAACACTGACAGCTCTCCACATTGTCACCAGTAATTCAACCAAGACCACACTGACCCACACATCTCATTTAATTTATCTTATGTGTGATCCCTACAGTTTAGATACTCATAGCCATAACTCACTTTCCAAAATTTCAAGTATAATTTCCAGGGAAAAAACAGCTCAGAACCAAGATGCAGGCAGTATCAATCTGACGGCGCTCTGTGCTCATTCATATCCTAATGATTTGCACTTAAGAAAGGGTATTTTGCCTTGGGATTGGGTTTTTGTTTGATTTTTCAAAAAACACTGCTTCCATTCTTGATAGAAATCTACAATTCTAACTAATTTCCTCAGATGTCCCAGCCAGAAGTACAAAATGTATCAACTTAACAGATTGTCAGATACACAAACAAATAGGATCAGACCCTTGTTCAGCAGACACTCTAATAGCTGCCAGACATTAATTCTGAGAGTAAAGCCATTCTTCTTTCTTCCTAAGGACAAATGAGATACTCACCCTGGAAAGCAAGCCAGATACTTAACCTTGATGACTAAGCTTAGCAAAAAGTACAGCACGTGATTTGTTCCCTAGAAGTGTGATTAGAAGCTTGTTTTTCTTCAGAAGCCTCCAGTTTGGAAAAAAATACAAAAATACAATAATTCCTTATTGCTAGGATAAGGGAACACTGCTTGCATCATACTTAACACTCCATATATCACATGCACTAACATTATATCATGTGTACTAACAGCAGCAGAGTCTCCATTTCTTGGAGACTGTATGCACATTACAAGAAGCAATACAAGTTTGGAGTAAAAAAATCCACTGCACTAGAAGACCAAATATGACTACTTATTCCTGTATCTTTTTATAGTTAGTTTTCAAATCATGACCTTGGACTCAAACACCATAATTTTCCATAACCGTGGTATCAAAAACTGCACTTCTAAACCTAAGTTCCCATGTGGAGAAACCAGTACTAAAACTTTAGTTTTGTTTCAAAGCATCTCTGGTCACAGAGGAAATACACTAAGCAGGTTCCTGCTTAAATCCTGTTCCTACTCCATTTCACAGTTAGATGCTACGCTCTCCTGCTTTTTAGTGAAGTTGTACCGGTTTGGCTGTAGTTCATTTGCTCCACAGGTGCCTGTACGGTGCTATGCTTTGGATTTGTGATGAAAGCAGTGTAGGTAATACATGGATGTTTTACTTCTTTCTAAGCAGTGCTTACACAGCATCAAGGTCTTTTATGGTTCTCATGTTTCCCCACCAGTAAGTCAGCTGGGAGAGTACACACCTGGGACGAGTGGCCCCATGTGACCAAGAGAATATTCCATATGATCATATGACATTGTGATAATAACACTGAGGGTGAAGTTTACCAGGGATGTCATTACTCAGGGACTGAGCACTGATTGACCAGTAGCTGAGGAATTTTTTTGCATCATTTTCCTTCCTTTGTTTTGTTTGCCTATTTTTTTTTAACTTACTAAACTGTCCTGATCTCAAGCCTCCTCACTTTTATCTTCCAATTCTATCCTGTACCTCACTGAGGGGAGTTAGCAAGCAGCTGCATGGTGCCTAGTTCCCTACCAGGGTTAAATCCCTATATAAAATAGAGTTCAAAATTTTTGAGGGACAAATGAACTTACCTTGTCCAGGTTCATACTGATTTACAGTCAGTTGATCAGGTTTATGTTTGATATATCCCTGCTTTAAGCACTTCTCCAAGAATGGGTTGCAAATTTCAGGAAGACCTAGTTACAGAAAGAGAACTGTAAACAAGACAGGACAGCTTTTTACAATATAACTAGGAAAATACATAGAAGTAGCTTCATATACATGCAAGTCCATTTTTAATGATGATTATTCTGCATCTGCTGCTAACATACACATCAGAACCGGAGGCCTAATCTTCAAGTCCGATATTCTTGAAGGTCTCAAAATTACAAGGGCCACTCTTCCAAGCCCTCTGCATTCAGAAACAGAGTAGTCCTTACAAATACAAACTGTAGTATCTCTACACATAAATAAAACCACATCAAATCAGAGGAAAGGTTTTTACCAATTACAATAAAAAAGTTGCAGTCAAGGAGCAAAACTATTATTCAGAGAGTCAGTTGTGCAAAGAGATCTCTAAAAAATTTAGTCCCTGGAAATCTGTTACTGAATTAGATTAAATATCACCAAAAAATCTGCTGAAACAGGACTGGAAGGCATAGTCCTCCACTGAATCTTTAGTTTGCTCTTTTACCTGAGGACTTGATTGAAAAACTCTGCTGCAGATAACACCAACAAACACGTTACTACTATCCCTTCCATGAATCTACTGATTTTTATTCTTGTTTTCTCCCAACAAGTATTTATGCTTTTCTGATACACAAGATAGTCTGTGAGACTAGAAAACAATTCACATATCAATCCTCCTACAATAATACAGCTGCACAGTTAAAATCTTAAGATAATGATAATCCTTCTGTTGCATGCTACATGGACCCCAGTACACATGCACCACCTTAAACACCTTCAAGTTTTACAGGAATTTAACTCTCCTATTTTGCTATTTTTAAATCTAAGTCTATAAGATGACTCACTTGCTTTGCTCTGACTCACAGCTTTCAACTCCCAATATGAGTTATTGAAACCTTTACAAAATTGCTTTCAGAGCAAAGGAAATTTTATTTCAGTGTGCATGCATCCAGCAAGTTTCAAGCTGGTTGAGATAAATATATACAGCAACATACGTCATATCCCCCAAATAAATTAATATGCAATTTGTAACACATAATTGTTTTATGGAACAAAAAGCTAAAAAGGAATGACAATTACAATCCCAAAAGCCTTATTTGACCAGAGCTCAACAAAGGGCAGCAACCTCTGGCTCCGAGTGACTGGAAAACAAGCTTAAAGCACTAACAATAATTTGGAATGAGTCTCAAAATTAAGAAGCACTTTTGTGTGGGTGCTTAAGATACAGCAAAGGCTCTCCTTTAACCAGACTCTCACAGCCATAATGCAGCAAGGCTTTATATAATGGTTCAAACATCAGTGCAAACTGATATATAAACTTTATATAATGGTTCAAACATCAGGCTTTATATAATGGTTCAAATATCAGTGCAAAATAAGCACAGTTTAATAGGGAAGTTCTCACCTCCAGGTAATGGTTTGTCTTTATCAACATTATTATTATCATAGCGAAACTCATATCCAAAATGCTTTACTCTTCTATGCTTTAAGGTCTTCTGGGCTGTAAAAACACGTAAGTTTAAAGTAAGATTAGATTACATAAAGACTATATGAAACATTGCAGGCATTTTACCATGTTTCCCTGTTGGGAATTTAGCTGCTAGAAAATGGAAAAGTACAAAACCATGGCTAATTCCAAGTCCTGCACCTGCACAGATAGCAGTGTCCTTGGGCCTAGCTGTGGTAGGATAACAAACAGTGAAAGAGACATGAGAAAAGAGAGATGTAACCCCTAAGGAATGAGGAAGAGTTGATAGTATAGTTTAACCAATAGATTGCTTAGCTTACAGAATNTGAGAAAAGAGAGATGTAACCCCTAAGGAATGAGGAAGAGTTGATAGTATAGTTTAACCAATAGACTGCTTAGCTTACAGAATATTCATAAGCTTATTACTCGCTGTATAAGTGTCTGATGCTCTCTTCAATAAACTGGAATTTGCTTATCACTCATATTGAGTGTCTGAGTCTCCCCTCACCTACGAATGGCTCGACCCCTGACAAAGGCCCTTTTTCTCTGCGACATTTCCCTATTCCATTCTACCTGTTAAGCCTAAACATTCTTTAATTAGCAGTTAAAATAGTGTATGTGACCCTTGTTCTTCACGCACACACTTCTGCTTATTTTCTTTTCTAATTCATCAAACATCACATTCACTGCTGTTGTGAGTCAAAGGGATGGTGTTTTTGCATATGCAAGAAACAGGGAGTACCAATTTTTTTGAGCCATGCTTAATGCATCTTTTTCTTGCCCTGATCTCTGAATTTACACCTGATGAATACCCTACAGGTACATCAACATCTATCATTCTCATTAATCATCAAGTTACACATTAGCTAAGGTCAGAATAACCTTTTGCATTGCTCCATGGAACAAATTTACACAGGAACTCTGAAGTAATTTCCAAGAATTCATTTAATCAAGGATTCAACTCCAAAAGCTCAGGTGAAAGCATCCAGAATGTATGCCTCACTAAGTTATTTGTTTTACATAAAAGAAGACACAGCTCTTCAGTTGGACATCAAATTACAAACAGTCTTGTGTGTGGCACAAGACACATAGAAAAGACTTTAATTGTTTCTGGATGCAGGTTTGTTATTCAAGTAAATCCATTTTGGCATATCAATTCAGATCTCTTGTCCCAAGGAACTGATCACTTGCAGTATAAGACCTAATTTCTAAAATGCTAAGAGCAACGACAGAATAATTTCTGACAATACATTTCCCAAGATCTAGACTTCCTGTAACCTGAAACTGCAGGAAAAAAACAACATAAAAGTATAGAATGTCTGGATTCCTATAGTTGTACCTACCATTCTGAGTATCTTCATCTGCTTTCCAGTCAATACTTTCCAACATCCTCCTTTCTTCCTCTGGAGAAATAATCTTTTCAATTACCATTAAGCCTGGAGGCAAGCTTGTAGGAACAGCATTTTGCAAGGAAACTGAGGTATAGGAAAAAAAGAGGATTTTCTCACTCTTTAGAGAAAATAAAAGCATATGTTCCCTATGGAAATATAATTATTTTTATGATAATATAGCACAGCTGTAAAAATGTTTAGTGATACAATGGAGCCCTCATTGTGGTCTTATTTGAAGAAAGAATGATCCCTTTTTGTCACGACAAAACAGGGTAAGGCCTGAGTTCTGCATCATTCCAGCACTTTCTAAAAATTTTACTGCATAAGACGAACAAGACTACACTATTCAAACATAAAACTGCTTGTGGCTTTCCTGTAAAAATAATGGTAAACAGAATTTCCCAATCACTTCAGGTTCTACCTGAATTTCATTTTAATTTTGTAGAATTTTAGTGATTTACCATATCAGCAGCTTCCACAGACAGAACAGTCTGTAATCAAATGTGTACAAATATGGAGTACAGAACAATAGCTAGGTGAAAGCAAAACACCACTGATGTTGGGACATTCAGTTTGCTTTCCTAAGAGATCAAAAAAAGCTATTTGCTAGCAGAACGTACAGACCAACACTAGGAACCCTTTTTGCTAGACACTATGAAAGCTCACAGAAAGAGCAACAGTTCTTTATAGCTTATAATCAGCCAAAAAAAAATTAGGGGGAAGGAGGAAAAAAAGGATTCTGCAGGCTCCTTAATCCCAAAACCTTCATGCACAGGACTGAATGGTCAGGAAATTACTCAAATCTTTTTTCCTTTTGCTTACAAGTAATATAGTTGAAATTAGAGTATCCTAACCTGGAATACAAAGAGCAAAGATTATTTTATGTCCCGAATCTCAGATTCTAGCTTTCATTTTCTGTGTCTACTTACCAAAACTAGTGTGTTTTTACCTACATTTACAATCCAGGAAGTAAAAGCAAAGGGAAGCAGTATGCAGGAAGCTGGATATATAGGAGAGCAGAACAACTGTACCTTTTTCCACAAAATTAATATATAGAACAATGTTTTGGTCACAGTCTTCCAATGTTACTTCCTTTCCATTAAGGGCATTAAAGGCTTTCTTGGCTTCTTCTGTTGTTCTGTATTTCACAAATGAGTATGGTTTATTTGGTGGCATTAAGAGTGTTTCCATTGCTCCATATTCTTCTAGTATTCTGAGCAATTGCTGTCTACTCATCCCATTACCAAGACCAGCATTGGCAACAACCAGGCTCTAATTGAAAAAGAATTAAAAAACAAAACAAACAAAAAAAAAATTAGTAATTATTGTTGGTTCATTTAAAACTAACATTTTACCAAGAGAACAGCCCTATAAAAAAATTAAACCCATAAGCACTCTTTTATGTATTCTGCACAAGATATTTACATTTCCATGAGCTTGTTACACAAGGCTAATGCAACCTTTGCTTGCCCAGCACACAGTGTGGCTGAAAGCCTTGCAATCTCTCTCAGAAACACCTCCTCAGTTAATGCACACTTTGAAGTGGCATGTGTGTGACAAGTGTACTGCAAGCAAACAGTGGCACTGGCACACATAATTTTGGTGGTTTCTGGAACAGCTGGGAAAAGTGTTCAATTAATTCAAACAACAGCATTTCACTTCTCTAAAAAAAGAGAAAATGAGGTTTAGAACCAAAGAGGAGGGTCATTAAAAAACTGAGCACTGCTGTGATTATGCCTATTGTGAAGGCTCTGTTAACATCTGCTCTAAGCTCTGCACCAGGCTGTCTGCCAAAGATCATATTTTTCAAGATTCACCTCATTATTAATTACTGCTATTGTCTGGAATGTTATTGATAGAGGGACTCGTGTATGAAGGACATGCAGAGGTTCAAACCACTCCTTTCACCTAATCTACAAAGACCCCCTCTAAACAACTGCTGCAGCACATGCAGCAACTGATGATGTTAATTCAGAGATAGTCAGACTCTTGCACAAAGCCTGGAAGTATTTTCTATATTCCAGACACAAATTTTCCACTAGCACTATGATTTTGTTTCACATATCATTTATTCAAATGTTCTGTCACCAAAAAGGACCTTGCTGGACCCCAAAATTATTCTTTGGATAGATCAGATTGATAACTTGGTACCTGTGCCAGTTTCAAGAGGAACAAGTCCCAAATTACAGACCCATTTCCATGCAACACTAGAAAGACACAGTCTTTGTACTAAATAGTTTACAGTACAAGCAAGTTTGCTGAGTCATTAACATCTGTCCATGTGGTTTGAAATTTGAGCAAAAATTAAACCAAATTCTATTACAAAAATGTATAAAGATCTAACTGATGTTTCCATATTTGAATGGGAAGAACTTTCAGGATCAGGATGAACAAGGGTAGGCTAAATGATACTGCTCTACAGTGTTTCAAGCCATTTGTATTTCCTCATAAATTAGAGAGTGAAATTAGAAACTCTGACTTCCCTATCTGTCTGCAAGTTCCTGTCACTTTTTGCTACATCAGTATCTGTGAGGTCATTCTCTGATCCGCTGCAACTCTACTCTGGCAGAACACTACAGATCAAAAATCCAAGCAGCTTTCTGTTAGGTCTCTTTTCTGCAAGGAAAGAGAAAGCTGTCCCCATTTAAACAGCTGCAAGTCAGCCAACCAGCTCAATTCCCACAGAACCACAGCCTTAATAAAAACAAGATGGGAAAGATTTCCAAGATAGAAGTGTTTTTAATGGTGAGCTCAGATGAGACAAATTACACTTGACAGAGAACTATGGAAGATATAAAGGTACAAAAGTTAAAAGCCTGAGGGGAAAAAAAAAAAGAAACCACAGAGAAACAGAATAAAAGTTTATCTACTTCAATAGCATTTCCAATGCCTCCTCCTCAACCCAAGTAACTACTGTTTCAGGTTAAAAAAAAAAACCTTATCCAAAGGCCAAAGTCTCTCCATAGACCCTGAACTGCTGAAGTACAGTTCTGCTTTGAAATCAAAGAAGCACAGAAAACCCTCAATCTCAGGAAGTCCATTTTTAAAAACTGCATTTTACACAAGACACATGTGAGAAGAGAACACAGATAAGCAGCATTTTAACACTACCACCAAAATCACAACTACCTGTGTTGCATGGGAGACACACTTTATGCCCTCGTGTCTCATCAACGTATGCTGAGCTCTGACTTGCTTCCTCAATACTTTCTTCTTCATTTTCTGGACTTTCAAATAATCTTCACTGGTTTTAGCTTCCATACTGGTGTTCTGGAAAGCAGAAATAACAACACATAGTAAGTGTCCTGCTTGAAAAGGATCTCTCCCAAAAATAAAGCTTTAAAAGATTGCTATGATGCTTGATTTCATTTTCCCATTTTTCTCTTCCTCTTCACTCCTTTATTCACACTCACAGTATCACTAGATCCATTTGTGGGTTTTAACCTGTCTACCCCTCCTGTTTTCATACAGCAATTTCAGCTAATTTCCTTCTCTCTGCAGTCTCTCCAGAATAGAACATGAGAAAAAAATAACATGTGGAACTGCCATGAGATTCATATTGTCTCAGCTTCTCAGTTATTCTCATGTCTCACCAAATGCTTCAGTTGGAGATGAAATGTTTGGCTCCTTTTACCTAATTGCAACCAAGTGTGGCATTTGGCCAAACTTGCCTTTCTTGAGAGTAGAAAAAAAGAGAGTAGACTTACATGTCCTAGAGCAAGCAACTAGGATGCTCCACACATCATTTACCATATCTCCCAAACTTAATGAAAATCACATTCCTGTTGTGTGAAGGAACAGAAAACTGAGTACATATATACAAATATATATTTATTAGCCACTGAATTTCATAGCAACACAGAATTTACCAATCAGTGAGTACTTAAAGGTCAATGGCATTCTCCAGGTTTTGCTGCATCTTTTGCCACTTTTGGTCTAACATTACATTGAGATCATACAGTACCTTCCCACATTTCTTTGAGCCTACATTCTTTTCCTTTCTTTTTTCTACTCCCTTCAAATCCAAGGGAGGAGTCTGGATCTCATGTAAGATTATGACAAAGCTCCCAGACATTGATGCAGTTTGGATTTGACTTTATCTGTCCCTATAACACAAGCCCTTACCTGTATTTTAGAGGTATCTTCTCTTCTTTGCCAAAAATCCTCCTAACAGTACAGCTGGACAATCCAACTGCAGCTGTCTGTCCTATTCCATTCTTTTATCATCATGACCTAGCAACAATCCTTCCATCTTCTCTTTCTGTCAAAAAATGGTTTTGTTTCAGGTATTTTTAAGGAAAAAAGAAAACAAAACAAAACAAAACTAGGTCAATCACCCCTATATGTAATTATTTAACTCTGTCAACTGCCCCAACAGTCATGCATCCACTTGCATGCCTTCTGGCTTGCAGGACTGCAGAGCTGCTTCCCAACACCTAAACTGCAGACACAACCATGATAATATGACAATGAACTACAAAAAAGGGTAAAGGTAAAAAAAAATCCTCATATTAATATTTGCTGCAACTTTGTGTTGAATGACTTAGCAAAAATGTTGTTTTAAACAAGCACTGATATCCTAGCAAAAATGTTATAAAATATTGACAATAGCTCAAAAGACAAATAGCTCAAAACACTCCAAAGCAAGATTCATCACTTAATCAACAGTGTTAAATACAGAGAGCAATGGTTCTCTTAACCTTCATTAGTAAAATAATGATCAAAAAAATCTCAAACTCGCTTAAACCAAAAAAAAAAGAAAGCACAATGAGACACACACGCACACACAAGAAACCAAAACCAACCAAAAAAAAAACCCACACAAAACCAAAAACCACTAAAAAACCAACATCCAAAAGCATAAGATAATTAGAAGTCATGGTAGCTGAGAGGGGGAAAAATAAAAGTCACATAAAAAGAAGCTTAAAAATTTTTATGAATTAAATTCTCCTAAGTGCATCTAATGGGTCAACCCTTACCAAGATTCAGCTGACTAGCAGGCTCCTTCAGCAAGCCTACTATGACAATGTGTGCAATTACAAGACTTCATAGAATCACAAAATCATTTAGGTCACAAAAGACCTGTAAGGTTGAGTTCAACTGTTAATCCAGAACTGCCAAGTCCATCACAAAACCCTATGTCCCTAAGCATCACCATCTACACAATTGGCTCCAAAAGGCTTATTCTGTCCCACCTCACTTGCCACACACAGGTGAACAAAAGCCCACATCTTTACAGCCTACACATGAGCAGGTTCCTCTGCAGAGGGTGTCAGGCAGTCCCAAACTACTCCACAGGACAGTGGCACATCTTTGGCTTGGTGAGTTTACAGAAAGAGAGCAAAAATACAGGATAGGATAATACTTTTGAGCGAAGCAAATTGGATTTGGATGGAAAAGCATGAAGGCTATGCACATCAGCCATACCAGTCAGACCACCATCATGCAGCCCGCAGAACAAAGGACTTCAAACTGAAAGGGTCAGGCCTCTCCCATAACATCTGCACCTCTACATAGTGGAAGACTTGATGTGATCTCTGGGGAAAGCATTTCAGGCCTTTAGTCAGGTCCTCACAAACACCCACACCCTCCAGGCAAAAGCAAAGAAGTCATGCCACAATATTTGTTAAACTAGCACAGAAACTAAAGCTGAAAGACTTCTTCTTATCCTTCCATAAACCCTGAACAAGGGACAGCTGAGGTGGGACTCAGCTGTCTAAATAGCACCCAACACTGGCAGAGATGACCTAGCCCACAACACTCAGCCTTTCACCTGCTGCTCAAGAAGCTGAAGACCTTCCTGATGTGCTGTGTCATGCTTGCCAGCATCACTCTGGTGCCTCCAGCTTCTGAAGACATCTTAAACAGCAATACCTGCATAGCTGAGACAGAATATTCCCTTGGTCTCTGTCTAAACTGGGTCTAAACTCTGTCTTGTCTGTTACATGCATTACCAGTGGCTCAATTTGGCAGGCAAGTCTGCCCTGATTTCTGAATAAAAGAATCACATTCAACTGTATAGAAGTAGGAAACTTCATTTTCTGGGATCTCACACCTCCTTTAGAAAGGCCAGTACAACTACAGATGAAAAAGGATTAATCCACTGTTAAATTTGTTACTGTTACCACCTAGTTTTACAACAAGTATTTTTAAAAAGCACCTCCTGAAGTTACACACTGAAAACAGTTTCCCCTTGCAATACGAGCTGAGGTTACACGCACTTCACAAAACTGGCCTGAAGCTACTACAGAGGTTAATGTAAAGCTTTAATGCAATGCAAAAAGTTTGTCTGCTGTAGAAGCCGCCTCTGAGAACTGAAGCATCAGGCGGGTGGGCAGAGCAGAGCGGCGGCTGTCGGCAGAGGGAGCGCCACGATCAGGGATAAGCCGAGATCTCCGTTACTGACTTATGGCTTGGTTTTGTGCCACAGACACGCCACAGCAAAAGTATAAGGATTCAGCATTCACATAAACATCCAGGGAAGAAAAAAAAATACATTCAGAAGGCCGTACGGTGAGATTTAAGAGCTCCAGCACTTGCCAAACGCGCCCGAAAGCACCAACATATCCAGGCACTGGCATGTCCCGCGGCTGTCCCATCCCACCTCTGCAAGGGACAGCCAGCACCAAACCTCCCACCGACACCCCGCACACCCCCGGGCACTCGCTGCAAACAGCAACGATAACAGGAATAACCTCTGGAGAGCGTCTTAGAATCACGGACCTTAAGGCTTTGAATAGACCTTAAAGATCAACCAGTCCCAACCCCGTGCCATGGGCAGGGATGCATCCTTCTAGACCAGGTTTCTCAAAGCTTTGAACACTGCCAGGATTGGGGCACCCACAGCCTCCCTGGGTAACTTGTTCCAGGGCCTCACCACCCTCACACCAGTGTCCCTTCTTCTCTGCCCTGAGTACACACGGGGGAGACCGTAAAAGCTGTGAGGCAGACGTAGGGACTGGCTTGGCCTTCTCTCCCTTGCACCACCTCGTCCTGACAGGGACAGAGATGGAGCTGGAGCCGCGGCCAGGCCGCCGCGGGTTCTGCTCCCCGCACAGGGCGGCACGGCGGGCACGGGGGGGAGGAAGAACCAGCGGCAGAGACCGCCTGCGCTCCCGCCGCCGCCGCGGCTCTCTGTACCCAGGCAGAGCCCGGCGAGACCCGGGCGCGGCAGCCCCGGCCCGACGGGCGCGTTACCTGCAGGAAGCGGCCATGTCGGGGCGGGCACCGGCCCCGGCACCGCCCCCGCCGCGCCGTCATGGCCCCGCCCCGGCCCGCTGCCCGCGGAGCGGTGCGGCCGGGGGGAGTTTAGCTGCTGCGGGCGTCTGACGTTTTATTGCAGGTCAGGGAAGCCAGGCTTTGATGTTCCGCAAAGCCATGTGCTGGGTCCTGCCTTTGGGTCACAGCAACACCAAGCAGCGCCACAGACTGGGGGAAGAGTGGCTGGGAAGGACCCGGAGGTGCTGATCAGGAGCTGAACATGATCCAGAGTGTGCCCAGGTGGCCCAGAAGGCCGATGGCATCCTGGCCTGGATCAGCCAGGTGTGGCCAGCAGGAGCAGGGCAGTGACCGTCCCCCTGTACCCAGCACTGCTGAGGCCACAGCTCCAATCCTGTGCTCAGTTCTGGGCCCCTCAGTGCCAGAGAGACATTGAGGGGCTGGAGTGTGTCCAGGGAAGGGCAGCGGAGCTGGGGAAGGGTCTGGAGCACAAGTGCTGTGAGGGGCAGCTGAGGGAGCTGGGGGTGCTCAGCCTGGAGAAAAGGAGGCTCAGGGGGACCTCAGCACTCTCTGCAGCTGCCTGACAGGAGGGTGCAGCCAGGTGGGAGTCAGGCTTTTCTCCCAGGAAACAAGTGACAGGACAAGAGGACGTAGTCTTAAGCTGCAGGAGGTTCAGGTTGGACATTAGGAGACATTTCTTCATGGAAAGAATGATTAGACCTTGGAATAGACTGCCCAGAGAGGTGCTAGAGTCACTGTCTCTGGAGATGTTTAGGAAAAGACTGGTCATTGCATCAGTGCCATGGCCTGTTTGATATGGTGGTGTTGGATCGAAGGTTGGATTGATGATCTCCAAAGGTCTTTTCCAACCTAACTGGCTCTCTGATTCTCTGGCAGCAGCCAGTTCTATGTGCCAAGATTTCCCAGTGACCAGGCCAGGGCTCCCCCATGGCACACAGCCATGTTGGGGGGAGAGGGACATCCATGTGGGTGGATCCACGGCAGTTGGTATGGCAAGGGGAAGGGGGTGAGCAGCTCCCTACAACCACCTTCCATGGACACACATTTAATGTCACTGTGCCACCACCTCCTGTTCCTGCTCACTCCATGCTTCCGAGCTCCACTTGCCAGCAGGTCCTCCCCGTGCCACCTTTTCTCCAAGCAGAGCCAGCTCTTCACCATCCTCCTCTCCACCCACAGAATCTCCACAGAACAAGTGCAATGATTTAACCGTACATGCAGTGAGACACCATCCCTCAATCCCACACCTGCCTCCATTCCTTCATTGGAGCCTCCTCCAGCACAGAGGATCCAAAGCCAGATGGGAAAAGCCACATCCACACTGAAAGTTAAAGACAGCTTCCACCAGGCCAGGATGAATTAAAGACAGCATCATGGCTTCTCCCAGGCTCAGGCACTCACCACAAGAGACCATCCCCTGGGCAAGCCACCATCACAGCCAGCACTGATCATGTTACCTTTGGCACGCCACAGCACTTGGGCAGCGAAAGACAAAACCATGCCAGTCCACACAATGCCATGAGAAGAACGAGCCTCTGGCTGTAGATAAATACTCTTCTGCACCACTCTTGACCTGGCCAGCAACCCCCCTAAGGCTGTGGAGTGAGCCCACACTAGTGAGAGGCCCGCCTCACTGAAAGGAAGCATCTCCACACCTCACTGACTCCCTGTGGGGAAAGTGGTCCCTTAAATCAGTGGTACAGTGAATAAGCCTTTGCTTCATTTTTCTTCTTCATAGACTAACCAAGCTGCATATTATGCTCCTAGACATCACCTTTCTCCCTTCTTTATCCAAAATGCTGGAATCTGGGATTGCCACCTTTTTGTTTATCTGACAAATATCCTACCTCTCACTGCATCTTATTACCTAAAGCCTAACTCTTTTTTTCTCTCTCTCTCCCTGTTTATTTTTCCTCCCTCAGCGTCCTGTGGGTATGTAACCTTTCTCAGCATCAATGATGTATGGGATTCCCAGGCAGGTGGTATGTAAGGTGTGACTGATGAGCCTGCAAACCTGTAGACTGGAGCCAGCTCCTCAAGTTTTTCCCAGACGCACACACCAGAGGAATTTACCCATGGCTGTGCTTATCCAGAAAAAAACAACAAAACATGCAACCACCTAAGAAACAACAACAACAAAAAAGTCCTTTCTCTTTCCCTTGGAATGTATACCATGCCCTATGCCAAGGCCACAGTTGTTCCATGTACAGAAGGTCCAAGGGCACTAAGTGTGTGAGGCTGACAGGGCAAATATCCAAATATCCAAATATCCACCAGCCTGTAATATTTGGGAGGTAGGAATTACTTGGTGGAATATTTGAGAGGTAGGAATTACTTGGAACCACCTCAGAAGGGTGGTTCCGCTTCTTTTCCTCCACCAGAGTCACCTTCTGTCCTTGACCCACACAGTGGTTAGCAAAGTGTTGTGATAGCAGAGTTCTGCCTAAGTTTTCTTATATGTAAAGTAGGAATATTTGCTACCTACCTAGTAAGAGTACAGCATAGACCCTTTTAACCTTTGTGAACACTAAGTCTTAGCATCATCTGCTCTTCTTGTGAGCCAGAATGAATGGAGAAAGAACAACCAGGCTGCATCAACAGCTGCTGTCTCTATTAAAATATTCTCCCAGGCTCTCAGCCCTGGAAACCACCCAACCCTGAAAGCTGCTGAAAGGATGATGCTAATGATACCAGTTTGTAATTCATTACCAATTTGTTCTGACAAGTGTAAAATACCTGCCCAAAGGTTGTTTCTTTTAAGTGTCCACATTCCAGATTCTGTGCACTCTCCATTCTACATGCATGTCTATGTGCGTTCTCTGGGGGAGAACAAACTCACTGTGAGTTTGGTTTTTTTTTATTAAGTATCTCTGTATAATTAGCAGTGGTCAAGAAATTTTCCTGCATATAGCAATAACATTTCCTCAGATAATGCATCAAGATTTTTCTTCTATAAACAACATATTCACATAGGAAATTTCCACCATTTAAAAGGAAAACAGTTAAAGGCTGATTAGGGGTTTAATACAAGCATATTTCAAACCAGAACTGTTATGCCCTTCATGATTTAAGCCCAGAAGCACTGTGCATTCTCCTCCCATGCTAAATAAGATGTGTAGAGGCTCCTCATACAGATACCACTGTGCTTATTGACAAGTAAAAATACATCTCCATTAACAACATTATCACTGATTAACCCACTAAAGAGTTCACAGAAATGGGGATTCTAATACATTTACCTTTGATGTTAATATAATCTCTGACTTAAAGTGTGTTAGCAGAAAACTCACTACTTCTTTTAAAAAATCAATTTTTTAGAATTTTAGTATTTTGGTTTATATTAATTTGATATTAGTTTGATGTTAATTAGTTTGATATTAATTCTTTGTAGTTTTCTTAAGAAAAAATAAATTTTATATCATAAAATCTTGGCTCTGCTCTATTGTTTTAAATTGATAATAAGGAAAGATGTTTTCTAAAGCAGAATATCATGCTCCCATTTAGTCATAGATGAAAAATAAAATCCTACTGACTTTTCTCAAGAAGAAATTACACTATTTGCTATGCTGTTAGCTGTTTTATCTTGGCCACATTCCCAGGGAGAATCAAGGCATTTGTCAGTCCCTGGCAATCAACTTCATAAGATAACAAGTAAACACTTCTATTTCCTTGAATAAACAAGGGTTACTGGTCTGTAGGTGGAAAGATAATCTTACTCCCTTTTATAGCAAAGCAAGCCAAACCATGCTGTAGCCTAATGTGATCACACTGGATTTCCATTAATTTCAAACCCAATTAAAAGGGAATCGCAAGAAGATAGGATTTGCTATATCAAATCTCTTGGTATAAGAAACTGCAGATTAAGAATCATGACAAATAGGATATATTTCAGCATAGCAGTTTGTTACAGAAATAAAAAGAAACCTCTTAGCACAAAATCCAGCTCAAAATCACCCGTGACTACTCCTGTAGAGAAGTACTGTAATAAAGGATGAGACACAAGATAAATTGTTTTAGGACAGCATTCATGTCATAATTCAGCACTTGGACAAATATGTGTTGACCTAAATTCAAAATGTGCAACTGCTGCTGCGTGAGATAATAAAACTCTCCATAACAAACCTCTGCAATGCCAAGGGCTTATATTTTTCAGGACAAAGGCAAGGCTGGCTCTGTGCTGCATGTCATTTTTATTCTGTGTTTGTGCTGTTCAATGCTAGATTTTCTATTTCTTTCTAAAAAAGAAAAACAGTCAGAAAAAAACAACTTTTAGAAGTTTGTTAGCAAATGCATAAGACTGAAAGAGACAGGAGAAGTCTGGGTCCTGTTAAAATCAGTGGGATTTTCAAATGCTAGTGATCAAAATGCTTGTATTCTCAAGAGATTTAAAATGTCAAGTAGTGTCAGTATGCTTTCTGGTTTCTAAGCTTTAGCCTACATTCTGTTAATATCTCCAAACTTTTTCAAGCTTTTTTCCACAAATGTAAATTTTAGAGTACTTCTGCTTTCCTTTAATAAAAAAGCTGCACTTTTCCTGAAATTTCAAGATTCTGTGTACAGAAACTTCAAGAAATACACTAAATAGCATAAATCTCACAGGGAAACTGTAATATTTGGCAACACTGCATTTCTGGCACAAATACATGATTATTGGCAGGTTCACTTCCACTGTTACCAGGTGTGATCCTCCTGTGGGGCAAGCTTCTTGAGCACCATGACACAGCTTTTTCTGAGCAGGGAGGTTCCAGTTCTCCACTGGGACAGCTACAGACCTTGCCATCTGCAGAACCAAACCTGTCAGTGAATGTTTAGGATTGGACACGGGTTAGCTAAACTGAGCACTTCCGCTATGCCATGGGATTGCACTAATGAAGTTCAAGGCTGTTTATTAGAG